GAATTAGTGGAGACGGTAGGGACTCAACTCTGACTATACCTTGGCGCACGTTGACTCTAAGCTTGAATTGTGTGACATGAAAACAGGTGGGTTTAGAGACCACAGATGCCAACTTCTTGGAGGGCTTGATCGGACAGAGGACAGCGTTCTTCCACCCTAAAGGCCAGAGGGCGGGACTCTCCTCTTCTGGCGGACTCTGGCCTTCAATGTAAGACCTCGTCTTCCAAGGCCGAAGCGTGCCAGTGCAGAGAGACCGCGGCACAGATTCCAAGCCCGAAGCGTGCCAGTGCAGAGAGACCGCGGCACAGAAGCAGCGTTCGGATGTCCTCACGTCGCCCTCACCCCAGAGGCCACGGCTTGAGGAGAGCGTCCCCCAAAGGAAGGTCGGCCTCAATGACCCTACACAGTCAAGCCGAGTAGAGGGAGTGCGCTTTCTCGTGGGTCTTGGAATAGCTCCTCCTGGCCTCCTCGGGAAAGCCGCCCTACTACACACCTCTGAGCTTCGCGCGGGTCCTTGAGAGCTCGATTCTGGTGTCTGGGAAAAGGGCCAGCGAGGCTCTGTGAGATACTTCGGGGGAAGAATACGCCCTCCAAAGGAGACTCCAGATCCTCTTTCTGTTCTTAGATCTCGGGATTGGAGAGCAGCGACCCCCGGAGCCGGGTTGCGTTCCAGTTTTGCGTTCGCTAGGAGGGCTTGCCTCGACGGCACCCGGAAGCCCAGCTCAGCCTGGCTCTGGAGCCTGCGTTTGGCTGAGAGACACTTGTCTGCCGCAGACCTGGGTGCGGGAGTGGACAAGGGATCCGAGAGCTTCACGCAAAGAGTTAGAGGCCTGGTTTCACAGTTTCTATAAACCCAAGTTACAGAAACAGAATAACCCCTTCCTTTTGCTAGCTATTTTTACGATTTACAAACTCATGCAAGTGATCTCATCCTGTAATACTTGTACCTATAGCACAACTTAGGAGGTACATACGGCAGGTTATGACCATTTTTCAAAAAGCAGCTCAGGGAACAGGTGTTTAGAGCCTTTATTTACTTAATTCATCATTTCTTGAGGCACTGGTGGATTCAAGGATAAATAAAATAGGGTCTTGCCCTCTAGGAAGGGTGGCAGAAAACATCCTTGTTTACTCTGGCTGTGAATGGAGTGGCTCTAGGTGTGATGGGAGTCCACTAGAGCTATACCACCTAGCTGAAAAGAGGTAAAGCGGGGCTGCAATCTCAGGACTTCTGACTTTTACTGGATTGCTCTGCCCACCACTCCTGAGCACTTGAAGAACGGGAAATGGTGAAGAAAGCCATATGCAAGCCTTCATTACATCCCTCTCTAACTCCGTTGGACCCCGAAGTAACATTTGTCACCAAGTAACTACATATTATTTGGGTGATTTATTGTGAATTTGTAGGCTCCGTGTGAGTAGGGGCCGCATCTAGTTTGTTTAAGGCTGAATTTTCAGGCCTAGGACAGAGCCTGGTACAGATCCTCCGGCACCCAATAATTATTTGTCGAATGAATCACGAATTGCGATAAAACTCGGAGCAAAATAACACCACCAGGAAACATAATCGCTCACCGCCACAGAGGAGGTGTGAAGGACCACGAAGGGAATTAGAAAAATGGGGGTGAGGGGGGCAGAACAAGCGTTCCCTTATCGTCCCCCACCTGGTCTGAGCTACAGACCTTGACTTAGCCCTCTGTATGATCCCTCTCTTCTAAGTACTCAAGGAGGCGGCCCTGGAGGAAGAAAAGGGCATTTCCTTTCGTCCAAAGGAGTGGTGAGCAAAGGAGGATGGCAATTCTAAGCGTCTCTAGCTGGGCCTGTGCCTGAGCCTCGGGGGCTACTAAATACCGGGCGGATTCGCAGCCGGCAAGGCAGAGTGTGGCTGGGATTGAGGCGGGCGTTCGCGGCAGCTTCAGGGAAAGCTGCTTGAGATGGCTTGCCACTACCCCATCGCACCCACCCTGCCCGGGATCCAGTTAGTTGCGAGATAAAAGAAGAGGTGCGAGCTCTGCGGAGTGGACTCGGAATTTCCAAGTATCGATTGCAGCCATGGAGAAATTACTGTTTTAACCGGGGTCCGGTTAAAATTATTAAAGATGTGCGCGAAAAGGCTACTGAAAGAAAAGACACTGGTCAGGCAGAGGTGTTGGGGCCAGAGGAAGGACTCTCAAGGCCTCTGTTTGGACAAACTAGAAGATATAGATCTCCACCTTCCATCCCCTTCTCCCTCCCCCCTCCCCCCTCCCT